CATCAAGCAACCATATTTGACTTTTTATCTCTTGTGTGGGGCACATAACGACTATATTTTTTATTCTCATTTTTACAATAATGTGGCTCAAACGGGGGCTTAGAAAGTTCTGGAATTAGACCGGGGACGTACAAGGTCTATGAGCGAGCATAACTTATCTTTTATGATCAGTTTGTAGTCCTTTATCGGCAGCATGCCCAGCATTATATATATATGTGAGAAGATCATTTTAGCCACATTGATAATCCACGTGTAAACGCGATGATTCTTTCTGCTTAACTTCTCCTGAATAGTTGAGCTCCATTTATTATCTTGTGGTTTACTTCTTTTTTATAATAGTTTCAATACCCTTTTATCTCAATATTTCCCGGATCATCTGCTCTTGAATTTATTTATTTCAATGCTTGAAGATTGAAAGTTTTTAGATTATTTTATCTATATTATGATAATGTCTCCCCGCAGGAAGCCGAGAAGCATCTTTCAGAAATGGTTGTTTCCAAAGCATTGGTTGCAAAGATCGACAGACCTGTAGGTATAGTGTCTTTCCAGGCTGCCAAGGACAGCAACGACACTCTAAATTCATGGGCTATGAACTTGGAGAAGCTTCTTGACCTTGTTGAGAAGAGTTGTCATCAAATCCACAAGGAGACAATGGTCCACAAAACTGCACTGCAAGTTTGAAAAATTGGTATAGGAGGTCCTCGCTATGTTCATTGAGATCACATTCCTGAGTTGGAATGTTAGTGAGTGATGCAATCTTTTGTTGAGAGTCATTCTCTTGCAGGTTGCAATTTGTACCGTTTTAATGCTCTGCAGGAAGTGGAATTGGACCCTTGTTGCTTTGTTGCTCCTACGGGACCTGACTTTCTCCCTAGAGTCTTTGTGATGTTATTACCATTTTAATGATTCATTTATTTTGACAATTAACGTTCATGCTTGCTGCTGAGAAATTAGCAGTTCATGACGCTAGTACTTGTTTATGCGAGGAGTTATCAATGTACCATGAATTGGGTGGCTCATTTTTCAATTTCTGTTGTGGAACTTGTAAAATATAATGTTCACAGTGATTATTCGTATGAAGTCAGACCATTAACTGACTAATTTATCGAACAAATTTAGCTTTTGCAATAATATGTGGGAGCAATAAATCTTTCATATAGCTGTTGCTGATGCATTCTGAAGCTAAAGCATATTTGTACACTTTTGATCTGATATCATAACATTACCATGAGTATGTGGAACTTCCAACAAAAGGTATCTGTAATTTGTTGCTTGCTCAAGCCTTCTGCCAAGTGCAGAATGCAAATGTCATATCAACCCTGCTTCTTGTCCAGGGTTGGGGGCGCCACCCCAATCCTGGCCATATGGCTTTTTTCTATATTCTAGGTGTGATGTTTCTCTTTCTTTTGTTGGATTCTGCATTCTGTCAGTTCTTGGGAACTATTTATGCCTGATAATCTGTTTTGTAGTTTGTTCAAAGATTGCAGATAAGGTGTAGATGCTTAACCCGATGCCTACTTGAATGTTGGGGATGGTTGGAATTTTAAAAATCAATATAGTAAAATTTATATATAATTTACATATAAATAGGTTGGCAAGATAAAAACAATTTAATTTTTCATTTAAATGAACTATTACCAATTGTAAATAAATGAAAAAATTAGTGATGGAAAAATTAAGTACTCACTAATTGTGTAGTAGCGTAAAATTTCTACAATGCGAGCAACTTGTAAATTTGAGATGTGAATTATGAATGTAAATATTTGCAAAAAAAGCAATATAAAATGAAAGTTTTAAAATGTCAAACATACAATAAAATGCAGTTGAACATTACAAATAATATCATAAGAATGGTTAAAATTTTACAAATTCGAGATTTTCATTTCTTTTTACTATTATTACTCATGAAATTTCATTCAATAAGTTAAAAATATTTTTAAAAATTCATTTTTAAGTCAATTACACCCCTTCAAAAACAACAATTTAATTTTTTCTTTACAAGCCACTCGATCAATGGTCCCAATCACTGTTTACATGTCCGTGCCTATGTCAATATTATTCACTATAGGTATATATATAAACGATTGTCAAAATATTATCCATGATAATTTAGCACTTTTTAGTTTTATTTTCTTTTATTTGATTGCATAAGCATACACAATCCAACAATTAAAATTTAAACATATTAGTTTACTATTCACCACAATACAATAACATATTAAAAATTCCAAAAACANATACACAATCCAACAATTAAAATTTAAACATATTAGTTTACTATTCACCACAATACAATAACATATTAAAAATTCCAAAAACAAAATATTATTTTAAAAAAAGGTGGAAATTACGCCACACCTACTTTAAAAGTTCAGTATTCTAAAATCAGGTTAGATGTTTCATTATTCAAAAATAAAAAAATTTTATGTTAATCAATATTTTTACTAAATATATATACTCCTCACAAACCCTAATTGATTCCCACTCTCCTATCTCTCTCTACATTTACACATTCTCTCTCTATACCAACCCGTTGCCTTCCTCAATTCTCTTTCTACACAACCTACCGCCCTCGACAATCTCGAATTCCTCACCTTTTCCCTCGTCGCCGTCCAACCCCATCCCCCACCTTCTATCCATTTCACCCTAGAAAGAGCAAATCACCGACGACTGTATTTGCGAAGCTGATCTACTACCAGAGCACGCGAAGTAGTGTTTTATGTGGTGGTGGTAATGGTGATAGTGTTTGTGTGGTGGTGGATCTGACAATGACGATGGTGCCATTAGTGGTGATGGTGTTTGTGTGGTGACGATGATTTGTTTGTGGAGAAGGTAGTGGTGGCGGTGACGGTGCCGGTACTATGGTGTTGCTGGAGGTGGTTGTGAGGTGGTGGTCACAAGTGTTGGAGATGATCACAAATTATATGGTTGAATGTGACCATTAAATTAATTAATCTGTGACCAATAAACAATATGTGACCAATGAAAAAAATTGTGACCAAGAAATCATGTTTGACCTAAAAGTTTTTAATTTGTGACCGATAATTTGTAAATGTCTAATAAGTTGTGACTTATAATATTTGTGATTTGTGATCGATTAATAAATTGTGACATATGAATTTTTGATTTATCACTGACGAACGAACTGCGACCCATAAAATTTTTGAATTGTAATCATAAAATAATTTGTATCATATAAAAATTCTGATTTATGATCCAAAAATAATATGTAACTAAGATTTGTGACCAAATTGTATATATATGTGACTTTAATATATTTAGTTTATAAAATATATAATTAATTAATTAAATCATAAAAAAATTTAATAAACATCTTATTTTTGAAATTTGATACCTTTATTCTTAATTTTGAAATGAGTAATAGTTAATCTCTTAATTATAAAATAGGTGATACACTACTAAAAAACAACTTTTTACCTACGGAAAATTACCAACGGATTGCATCCGTTGGTGATTAGAAACGGATTATCCGTTGGTAAAAGTAATTTACTTTTAGCTACGATAATTAGCAATGGATTTTTCGTTGGTAAAGATGATATCTCTATACCAACCGATATCCCGTACCTAATGTAATCGTTTAACATTTGGATTTTCCTCCAACGGATATTTCGTAGGTAATGTACCAAATATTACCAATGGATTGCATCCATTGGTAATTAGAAACGGATTATCCGTTGGTAAATATAATTCACTTTTAGCTACAATAATCAGCAACGGATTTTTCGTTGGTAAAGATGATATCTCTTTACCAACGGATATTCCGTGCCTAATATAACCATTTAGCATTTTGATCTTTTACCTACGGATATTCCGTTAGTAATTAGAAACGGATTATCCGTTAGTAAAAATGATATCCCTTTACCAACGGATATTCCGTGCCGAATATAACCGTTTAACATTTTAATCTTTCAGCAACGGATATTCCGTTGGTAATTAAAAACGGATTATCCGTTGGTAAAAATAATTCACTTATCCCACATCGGAAGTTTACAACAATATCTTTGTAGTTGCCCTCTATAAATTTGTGGTCCAATAAGGAGTTAAACAATATTTTGGCCTTTCAATTTAGTTGGCTAAAAATAAAAAATAAAAAATTATTATAATTATTAAATAATAATAATAAATAATTTTTTTACCATACGGTTATTTACAACATTTATTTTTACCAATTGTAATGATAGATATTTACCAACGGAAAGTCGGTTGGTATTGGTTAAAACTTTTACTAACGAAAATTCTGTTGGTAAAAGATTCATACTTTACCAACGGAAAGTTTATTGGTAAAATGTTTACTCTTTACCTACGACATGATTCATTGGTAACTATTAGCGACCCTCAAATTACCAACGGATTTGTGGTTGCAAATATTTCGTTGGTGAAGATTGTTAGCAACAGATATTGAGGCTTTAGGAACGGAAAATCCGTGCCTGAAACTCTATTTTTTAGTAGTGATAGTTAAAATGGATACGGATTGGAGTTGGACAGGGCTACAATTCCCCTTATTAGCCACTGATTGCAGCAATGGAATGCGATAGAAATGCTGAAATGGGTCTCACGAAATGTGTTGTTAAATAATAGATAATAATTGTGAATATAAGATTAAAATTAATGTTTGATATTGATTGTAAATTATTAAAAAAAAATTAGGGTATGTCTGATTGCCTATATTTTTCATGAAAAATATGTTTTTTCCACTCAAATTTCTACTTTCGCGTGTTGTTTGATTGACATTTTTTCATGAAAGATATTTTCTTACTTTTGATCGTATAACCATATTTTCCTCAAAATCAAAGAAAATATTTTCTTGAGGTAGAGTAGGATTTTATTTTCTAAGGAATTCATGCTCTTCTTTCTCTCTCTCTCTCATCTGTCAACTTTCTTTCATCTACTCACCAATAAAAAATAGATAAATATAATATTTTCTAAGTTGAAAATTAAATCAATTAAATACATGTAATTAATAATTTACATGCAAATAAGTATTAAGAATAATTTATTTTCTTTCCATGCAAGTTTCGTGCATGTAATCAAACGCAC